CATATATTTAAGGATGTATTCTTAGCTTGGCTCAGAATCTTGAGACTGGAAGACTTTCTCAGCCTGCAGCTGGACCATCTACATCTGCCGTGGTGAACTCGGCAGCTTCCCAATACTTACAAATCTTTCCAGATGAGATTTATGGTGATGATAAATTGTAAAAGTGTGTCAATGCTTGTGAGACCTGGCAAAGCTCAGTGAACCAGTATTTTCTAAAGACTATGATGTTACAAAATCATGCATTAATAAAGGATCCATCCATTCATTGAATATCGATTGTAATGGTTTCACGTCCCATTTTGCAAGTAACCTTTAAGTTATGATCATGTTTCAAATTTGGAAATTTTTGTATCCACAAAATTTAGCATTTAACACTATTAAATCACTCCTCCCTTTTCAACTGCATATCAGAGTAAGGCTCGAATATTTTTCATATATTTCTACTAAAACAACCTGAATATGTTAAATGTTAAAAAAAAAAAAACAATATTACTTTTGAGGCACCTGGGTGGCTCAGTTGGTTAAGTTCCTGACTCTTGCTTTCCACTCAGGTCATGATCTGCAGGGAAGGATCCCTGTGTTGGTCTCACGCTCAAGGAAGAACCTGCTTAAGATTCTCTCTCTCCCTATCCCTCTACCCCTTCCCTCACTTGCATTCTTCCCCTCTCTCTAAAATAAATAAAATATTTAAAAGAAAGATAAAAATATCACTTTTGTGTTTCAAACAATTACATAATGATTGTGGGTTCTTTTACCAAATGCATGGGTAGTACTATAAATAATATGCTTTAGGTTTGTATCTCACAAATCATTTGGGTAGTGCCACTTTGCTCTTCCACAGCACTTACCTTAATGTCACACTAATTCTGTATCCACCAATGTATCCTTGTCTCTGATACTGGACAAGACTATGTATTTCCTTTTCAGAGTCTGTATTCTGCTCTAGACCCCGTCACAACATGCTTTTTCCAGGACCTTTCTTTATAATTACTCTACCTAACCTTGCCTTAAAATCTTCCCTCTTTCTTCTACCTGAATTCCTCAATTTATCCATCTAACCAGTCATTCATTCATTCATTTGTTCATACATCCTAGAGATATTTATTAATCACCTATTACCACTTTCTAAGAGATGAGGATTCAGGAACCTAAAAACCAAAAGAAATGAAAACAAACCAGCACTAGACCCTTAGGGAATGCTTCATGTAGGGAATGGGGTGTGGACAGACTAGAAGCACAAAAATTCAGTTAAAGTGTGGTTTCATACACATCTGATGGGAACACAGGAAATCTGCATCGAAACCTGACATGGTACATTGGCAAAAGCTTCCTCAAAAACAGACTTTAAGCTGCATCTTCTCGAATAAGTAAGAAATCACAAGGCATAGAAAACAAGAAAGGTATTCCAAGGAGCAGAAAAATACGTGCAAAAGACAATGAGAGGAACAAAAAAAGAGCTTGGTGATCCATTACAGTACAGACAATATGTCCACAACACAGGAATCCAAGTAGGAGCATGATCAAGACCTTGAACTGCAGAGGTAGACAGTAAAGTAAGGCCAGCAGAACACCCGCTTGAAATTACGAACACTGCATGATCTCTACACCACTTACACTGGTTTTTAGCACATGGCATGCAGCACATCATGTGCTCATACAATGACCAGTGATTATTTATCAAGGACAGTTAATGTAAAGAAACATAGCCAAACACCATTTTACGGCGTGCAAAATAGACTATGACAACATACAGCTACCAATCTCCACTACCTACTGAAACAGTTCCAACATGAAGATAAAAATAATTAAGCCAGTGTTACTCTGGTTTGATTTAGATAGATCATCGAGGCCACAACAGGCTGGTGAGGAAAATGTTCTAACCACCCCCAGTGAAGATAGGGAACAAAAGTATGAAGAAACAACTTTTTTTCAGGACCTTCTTTACTGTGTTTAACCTTCTTCTTCCTGTGTGAGCACCATAGTGTCACCCAATGTACCCTACTTGTATCTACCTTTCTCATTTATGGCCCACACACTAGGTCTTTCAGTTTTCTTTTTCTCTTAACTTTTAAAAGTCTGCAGTCCAGGAAACCATGCTCTTGCCTGAAGGTAGAAGTCAATATAATCAATGTGACTTTTGCTACTGGGTGAACAAGATTATCCTACTCTTCTCAGTTAAACAGTTATTCCAGGGCCCCTAGAGATAAAATCCAAAGGACTGCATCAATCCCCAGGATAGGACCAGTGGGGGGAAAAATAAACTTTTGTGGTAGATGGCCTATGATACCTGTCATATATAACCTTCTTGCCCTTGGCTAAACCATCAGATGAGTTGCAAGTCTAAATCGGGATAAATTCATATAGCTTCAAAGGGTGGCAAAGAAAGAAAAAATGAAGAAAAATAGCAAATTCACTTAGGCTAATTTGCTAGCTACCCAAGGAACAGATTCTCTCAAGAAATATCACAGCTCTCCTATATACCACTGCTGATTTTTTTTTTTAAGTTTAAGACAACACAACAAGAGCTTAAGAATTACTCGAAGCCAGTCTCTACAGAAGAGAACCAAAGATAGATGCATGGCGTATTAAATTGTTATTTGGGTTAAAGATGGACAAAGAGGAATGTTACTTAACAATCAGTGACTGTGAATATTTTAAAACATTTAAAAAAAGGAATTTTACCTGAAGAATCTTCACTGGGAAAGGGGCCTGTTGCTAATCACATTTACAAATGAATGCTAATCCACTGTAAGAATATCTTGTTTAAATACTGACACATCAAGTATTGACAATGTTAATGTGTTTATCCAAACCTCTTCCATGTTACAGTTGTCATCCCCTACATACTCCACTTTTTGTGCTATCTTTTTTTTTTTAAGATTTTATTCATGAGCGACACACACACACACACACACACACAGAGAGAGAGAGAGAGAGAGGGAGGCAGACACATAGGCAGAGGGAGAAGCAGGCTCCATGCAGGGACCCCGATGTGGACTTGATCTCGGGGTCTCCAGGGTCACGCCCTGGGCCAAAGGCAGGCGCTAAACCGCTGAGCCACCCAGGGATCCCCTCTTTGTGCTATCTTGATTAAACTGTATGCTCACAAATATACGACATAAAAGATTATATGATACCAATGGAACATTGAAATCACTTGCCCCATGTGTTATTAACTTAATTATATAAACCATGGAACATTCAAATACTTATAAAAGAGAGTATCTGAAATTGCAAAATGACTGAAACTTGAGAACAGTTAGCAGCTAATAACCTCAATATCCTACATAAAAAATTAGGCTAGTAAAATAACAAAACTTCTCTAATAAAACACACAGCATTAAAGTTACAGGGGCTTCTCAAGCTCACAGAGGGAAGCACCTGATCCACGGTAAGGAGCCAAATCACTCCCTCATTAAATTTAGAAATGCGTATCAAGTTTTGAATAGTTTGAATTGATTTACGAAGGTCTAATTAAAAGTCACGCATGTGCCGTATCCTGTCCCCAAACTCAAACATCAAGATGGTTCTTCATTACCTAATAAAGCCAAAACTCAGCCTGGCATCCCAGTCCTTTGTAATCCAACCTCACTTTACCTTAAATCTTTTTATAAATATGCCCCATTATAGCCTCATCACTCCAAGCAGGCCCGTATCACAGCACACATTTTTACTGAGTGCTTGGGATCCATGGGACACTTCTACTAGGTGTCAGTGAATGGAATGAGCACTGGACAGATACGGTACCTCCTGCCACCGAACAGGAGTGTAATGGATGCTGAAAACAGACAACTGAGCAAGCAATGATAGGGTAACATAAGAATATGACGGGCAAGCACAGGGCATTGAATGGAATCATAACAAAGCACTCAACCAGACTGGGAAGGCCAGAAGTTTCTGAAAAGTAGAGTCTAGTTTGAGATTTAAAGGTTGAGAAGTTATTGGTCTCTCAAAAATTGAGCAAAGGGAAAAGAAATGTAGAAATGGAGGGAGAGGCCATAGTATTTTCCACAAAGGAATACTTCAAGGTTGTGCTTGGGAAGACCTGGTGTTGCTCCTTCTCCCTCCACAGCCCAGTTCCACATGGGCATGCAAGTACATGGACCCACACACGCACCCCCCCACGCTTACCCCACTCAGCCGCTTCCTGCTCTGTGCCTTTCCTATCTTCTGCCCAGAACACTCTTCCCACTCTTCTCTATATTTAAATCCTACAGGTCCTGCAAAGTCCCACATCAGTCCTCTTTTAAAATCTCAGCGAAGAGTCAGGTCTTCCCCAGAGAGCCTTCAGGATGGATGTCCATCCTGCAAAGCTCTCTCCTTTAGGTTCTTCGGCCCTTACTAGAAAGGCACCACTCATGTTAAGCTCATTGTTAAGTGCTGATGTGTGTAATGCTGAGACTATTTCTGGGCTCTGTTATCTCTACACGCAGACTGTAAACTCCCTCGAGTCAGGGACTGTGTCATAAATTTTGCTTGTATGTCACTCAGCGACAAGCATAATCCATAATAAAGCTTACTGGGAGAACTACAAAAAGTTGAGCCTCTGAGAAGAGTGCCGTAAAATATAAAAGAAGCCGAAGCTTTCAAAAATTACAAATTAAAAAAAAAGTTCTTTTAATTCTTCTAGTTTATCTTTGAGATAAAGTGGAGACAATGGCATTTATATTGGGTATAGGAACTTGCAGGGGAGGTGACGAAATGCAGATGATGGCACGGGACTGGTCAAGCAGAATTATTCTATTTTTGTTTTGTTTCACATCTGTTCCTCAAGAAAATAATATTCATACTGCCACAAGTAAGACCAAAGTCAAAGTAACAAATTTAAGGCCCAAGGTACAAAATGGTGTTGAGTATTCTAAATGAGTTTAAATCCATTCATATAAAGAAACTGCATTACAAAGTACTGGAAGCAATTGTAGATGAAATAAGGGAATAGTTAAAATCATCTTTAAAAATATTATAATGAAGAGAAGGGTTGATAGAGAACAAAGAGCGTGATGATAGTCATTCCAGGCATGATTCCCAAGAGATTCTTAAAACTATGGTATGTGAGTATTCAAAAATGTGAGGCGTTACCTATAAGCTAGTGAAGGGTGTCAAGGAGCATATCATTATCTAAAAGTAATAACTTGGTATCTATTCTGCAGAAAGTGGAAATGCATTTTAGCAAGGAATCTGAGCAGTCTGTCACGGTATACCCCTGGGCCACACAAGGGATGTAAACTCCAAAGAAAGAGAGTTACTTGATGTTATTTATAACCGATTGGACATCCCCAATAAAGAGGGCTAGTAATTCGTAGAGTCATGTAAAGCAAGAGGAAGGTGTCTAGGATCATGCCAGACGTCTTTCCAGTTCAGCATTTTACAGTTACTTGGATAAAGATATTAATTGTATCCTAACCAAATTTATTAATGCTGCCAAATCGGGAAGAATGGCTAATCTTTATCAAGGAATCAGAATCCAAAAATACCTTGACCTTCTGGAACAAATAGGCTAACTAAAGGTAAAGATCAAATTTAACTGCAATATTTTTAAAAACCCCTACTTAAGCAGTCAAATGTACAACTGGGGAGAAGTATACCTGCAGAAGAGTGTGGATAAAAGGATGCATGATTAAACAGTATAGTGTGGATGCACAGAAAAGGTGGGGGAAAGCCGGGTTAGATTTTAGGATGATTTACTATGCAGTATCCAGAGGAGATAACCAATGGCATCAGTCCACTCATCTATGCTCTAGGCAGCACACCTTAAGAAAAACAGGAATGCACCCGAAAGAGAAATTCCCTCATGATAGTGGGACTTTCAAGGCATGCCAACTAAGGATGAGTTGAAGGAACTGGATAGTACCAATAGAGACACAGAGTTGTCATATATAAAAGCATTTTGTATAAGTACCCCAAGAGGTAATAATCAGGGTACGGATATTACAGAGGTAAATAATATCGTTCAATCTAAGAAAAGAATACTTATGCTCAGGATGGGTCAGATAAAGAAACGCCTCCTAAGTTCCAGATGAATCTTGATAAATGGTTTGCCTAAACTGATCTTAATATTCTCTGTGAATATGGAAGTAAGGTCATCTGCTAAGAACGAAAAGAGTAGAGATAATATGGACGGGCTGAAAAACCTGGATAAATCTGGAACAAGGGCTATGGAGATTTGGATATGGAATTATCCAAGAGAGGATAAAATAACTTCCTAGTGCTATCAACCATCTCTTATGCTGAACTCAGAATGAATCTGATTCTGGTAGGTCTAATGGCAAGAGATCCAAAGTCTAGAGCAGATCCAAAGTCTAGAACAGCATTGCTGTTCAAAATGAGTGTGGTAAGTAAAGAGAGGAAAAAATGAGAAAATTGAGGGTGGTCAATGAACAATAATGAGATAGAAGGATGTTGGGTAGTGAGTGGAACTAGCAGAGGGATAAGAGGCTGTGGAAAGAAAGAGTATAAAATTCACAGCGTTTTGTTCTGCTGGGGCAATCCTGAGAGATGAGAAGGCCCAAGTGGGTAAATACCAGCAGATTCCCAAAGGGAGGTCAAGCAGGTTAGGGTCCTGTGACCGCCAAACCCACAGATGTTGAATGAAGCCCTGAACAATGACAGCTGATGAAAAACCTCCATTATTTTAGATTCCCAAGGAAAGTAGAATGGCCAGGAGGTCAAAAAGCACTGGTAACAGGGACAGGGTAACCCAAGTGAAGGTTGTAAATTTTAAAAGACAAAGGGAAATTGGACAACAGTGAAAGAAATAACAGTTTACAAGCAGTTCTGAACGGCATATGAGAGAAGAGCACAGCAGTGTCTCTGGGTGATCCAGATCGTAATATTCCATAAAGCATCAGTACAAAACAAATATTTTTTTTAAAAAAATGTATTCTTGAACAGACCAACTTACAGCATCAAAGCATTAAAAAACCCCAAAGTTCAATAATTACAAAGACTGCACAATTAACCTTATTAGACACCTACTATGTGCCAGGCACTGTGACTCCAGTGACAACTATCCTGAAACAAATCTGAGTTTGGTAGACAACACAGACAGCGGTACGGGTATTTTTAATGCGATGCCACACAGAGAAAGGAGATATGTAGATAGGTCAGACCTGGAAAATAATCCAAGATTAAGGTTTTGTTTTGTTTTTTTGTTTTGTTTTGTTTTTGTTTTTGTTTTTTGTTTTTTTGGTCTGCCCAACTACCTTTCCCCAGGGTGTTCACTCTCAAAGCCATTGTCTTTGGTTGGCTTTTTGCAAATTCCTACTGTGGTGAGTAGGAGGAGATGGTATGTGAGTTAATTAAACTGAGTTGCCTTTGATTTTCTGAAAGGGAGGGTTCATTTTATAAAACAAGCATTAATTGCCAGAAAGCATTTCGGGTGTGATATGAGTCACTACAAGCAGTGAAAATCACATTTTTGTGGCAAGGGGTATCATGCCCCAGAGACCCGTAAGTTAAGGGCCCATAAGTTTTAAATGGTAATCATTCTTTCTTACTCTGGGCTGAGGAGGGAGTTTACCTACAGCTCTTCACTCCTTGCAAATAATTCTGTTCATGCTCTAGAGCCCTCATGACTATAGGAAGATAAAATCTGTTGTCTTGAACCCAGGAGAGAGAGAGAGAGAGAGAGAGAGAGAGAGAGAGAAAAGAAATAGGTCAGACACTTCTAAACTGTTTGAGAGAAATAAAATAAGCAAATGTGATTCAGGACAGCCAAAATATTATTCTGACCCCGAGTAAGTCCACTAGTCTATGGGCAACCAAATTTGTTCATAAAAAGACCTAAAAATTGTCAAAAGCGCTTCTTGTATCGGGTCAAGGTAGAGATACTCAAAAGTATTGCATAGGCACCTAGTAAATACTTACTGAATAAATCCAGATGGTCTAGACACTAAAACTGTAATTATTGATATTTTACAAAGAATAGTATCTCTTTCTACAAATTTGCAGAAAAGTAATTAGTAGTATGTAAGACAAGCAGCTTCAGTGAATACCTATAATTAAATGGTATACAAATCAATGCCATAAAAGTTATGTATCGCAGCAAAGAAAAACTAAGCAACTTGCTGGCAAATTTGACAAATAGAAAATATTCTGATTAATTTCCTCTAAAAAACGTTCCCATCAGTAACATACATTTTGGTTTATTCAAATACTGCTTTAGCTTTCTACTTCTCTTTACCTGGAGAAATTAATTCTTAAGGCTAATTTGATTTTTAGCTAGAAATTTTGGGGGGTATCAATATTATTATTTAGAAAATCCATATTCTCCCTCTTACTATTATTAATTCTTAGCAAACGTAATCTACAAATGTAAATACAGGATTTAATTTCCCTGATATGGTTCCTGACAAAATTCAAGGTTATCCAGGCTTAATTTATTTTAAAAAAAGTGATATTAACTGAAGATTTAAGTCTTTTTGTTTGAAAAATATCTATGAAAAAAACAGTTGACATTTAGCCACAAGAATATTTTATTGGCATATTCATAATAGAAATAACTTAATTTTAGTTATGACTCCTTTAGTTTTTAGTGCGACCTTAAAAGTTTTTCAAAAGAAATGCCTTAAAATAAGATTGTTTTATAAACCATAGTTATAAGAGATACAAGGAATAAAGGTTATGAGGTCTACTACTTTTTTCCCCCTTCAGCGTTGCCAGATGTAAGTCAAATACATTTGCATCTTCTACATTCTTTCTTTCTTTATTTTTTAAAAATCTTTAATTTTTTTCTTCTACATTCTTTAAATGACAGAAAACTATCTTAGATATATTATACCTGGACATCTAAAAGGAGAGCCTTTAAGGGATCATTTATATCCATATACTCTGAAACACCACCACAAGTATAAGTACTTTATATTTCTATCAGGTGTCAAGTAGAGAAAAATACAATTTTTTTAAAAATTTTCTGTGTCCTGCCAGAAAGAGATCTCACAGTACAAGAAGAAACAGAATGTACCTACCCATTCATGACAAATTTTTACTAACTAAAGTTCACCTACCTAAGTTTCCTGATACATTCAAAACCATTCAAGCGGACCTATTTTATAGGAAATGTTTAATTATTGTAACATGAGTTACTCTAGAATCTTGCCTACTATTTTAAGCCTGCAGGCTTTAGGTGGAAAGCCTATTGTTTTGACCAGAAAAATTGTTTTGACCAGAAAAAGTAAAGCTTAAGTATTTTAACTCTGGTTATTTTCCTTTCGGGTCAAACGTCCCTTTGGATAGCTGAGGACTCTGGACCACAGCCCTAAAAATGCAGGGACTCGAATGTTCAAATGCAGCATCAGGGGCTTCAGGGCCCCTTGCAGCAGATTCACACTCACTTGTCCAGTAACTGAGCAGAACACAGACAATCTCACGCGGAGAGTAATAAAGCTTACTCAGCTTTTCGACAACTTAAAACCTGCGTTGGAATCTTAGATTCTCATGTTGTGCTATTTTTACTGCGGCTGATTTTTAACGCTCTTCCTAACACCTGAAGTGACCACTCCCGAGGGGAAAACAGAGCCGTTTTAGGAAGAGCAACAGATTTCTTCCACACTGTGGACCGGGATCTAAAACTCTCCACCACCAAGAGCCTCCCCAACCCTTGCGTCCCTTACCCGAGGGTGAGCGAGGCCCCAAGACCGGGTCGGCAAGGCCGTGCGCACCCGGGGCCCCCGGCGGAGGGCACCGCTCCTGACAAATACTGAAGATACGGACGCGCGTGGCCTGTGGTATCTAAGACTCAGACGGGTTTTCAATAACCAGGTGCCTCTGGCCGGTGACCCCTGAGGGACAGGGTCAGCCTGGCCTCCTTCAACGGTGCAAACTGCACCGACTGCAAATGCAGCCTCGGGGAAGAAGCGTGAGCAGCAGCCAGACGCGCGCAGCCTGCGGTCGCGGGGGCACGAGGCCGCGGCGGCCACCGGGGTGACCCCGGACCCCGACACCCTCCCCGGCCTCCCCGGCCCCCCCCCCCCGGCCTCCCCAACCCCTCCCCGGTCTCCCCTGGCCCCCGATCACCCCCCCCAGTCCCCCCGAACCCCCCCGGCATCCCGGCCGCCCCTCTGCACACCCCGGGTCTCCCCGGACCCCCGGACCCCTGTCCCCCGGCATCCCGGGCAGGAATTCGGCGGCCAGATCAGGCCAGGCGCGCACTCGCACTCGCACTCGCACTCGCACTCGCACACGCGCGCACACTTACTCTTCGCCCCAGCGCCGAGCAGCCCCGCTGGAACTCAGCTCGCTGCCCCCGGCCGCCGCCCCCCCCCCCCGGCCGCCGCCCCGGCTGTGCGCTCCCTCCGAGCCGAGCGGCTCCCCGCGCAGCAGCCCGCGGGGGAAGCGGCCGCAACGCCGCCGCGCGGCCTGGAGCCCCCGCCGCCCCGCCGCCCCGCCGCCCCGGCCGTGGGACAGCAGCGCCCCACCCCCTGCACCCCGAGGCCCCGGCGCCCCGGCCGTGGGAGAGCAGCGCCCCCCCCCGTACGCCCCGAGGCCCCGGCCGGGGAGAGCAGCCCCCCCCGTGCACCCCGAGGTCCAGGCCGTGGGAGAGCAGCGCCCCCCCGCGTGTCCCCCCCGCGTGCGCCCCGAGGCCCCGGCGCCCGGCCGTGGGAGAGCAGCGCCCCCCCGCGTGCTCCCCCCCCGTGCACCCCGAGGTCCAGGCCGTGGGAGAGCAGCGCCCCCCCGCGTGCTCCCCCCCGTGCACCCCGAGGTCCAGGCCGTGGGAGAGCAGCGACCCCCCGCGTGCGCCCCCCGAGTGCACCCCGAGGCCCCGGCGCCCGGCCGTGGGAGAGCAGCGGCCCCCCCCCGCGTGCTCCCCCCCCCGTGCACCCCGAGGTCCAGGCCGTGGGAGAGCAGCGCCCCCCCCCCCGCGTGCTCCCCTCCCCGTGCACCCCGAGGTCCAGGCCGTGGGAGAGCAGCGCCCCCCCCGCGTGCGTCCCGAGGCCCCGGCGCCCCGCGGTGGGAGAGCAGCGCCCCCCGTCGGCGCCCCCCTCGGGCCCCGCGCTCCCCTGCGCCCTGAGTCGGCCCCGGGCGCCGTGTCCTGCGCTCCGCCGGCCCTCCGCGGCGTGGGCACCGGGCCGGGCCCCGGGGGCAGAGCAGCCGCGGCGCCGCAGCCCCCCCGCGAGGGGAAGGGGACGAGCCCAGGCCGGGCGCCCGGGGAGAGGGGCGGCCCCTCGGGGCGCGCAGGGTCCGCTCCCTCGCCGGCCTCCCGCACCCCGCGGCGGCGTTTCCGGACCTGGGGGCGCCCCGAGCCCTCCGCTGGGAACGCGGGAGAGCGGGCGCCGGGGACGCCCGGGACGCGGGGGGGGGGGCGCACCTGTCGGGCCCCGGCGCCGCGGCACCGCCCCGGGCTCGCTCGCGTCCACCGCTCCACAGGCGGCCCGGGCCGCGACGTGCCCAGGGCAGCGGGCTCCCCGCTCCGCTCGCTCGCCCCGAGAGCCGGGGCCCGGGCCCCTCTGCGGCTCCCTCCCCGAGGCCCCCGAGGCCCTGGAGCCCCTTCCCCTGCCCTGCACCGAAGGACGGAGAAAGAAAGTGGAGACTAGAACGCACCATGGTGAGGTCCCTCGGGTCCGGTCCCGCCGACGCTGGCCGCGCTCCCCGCCCCCGGTCCCCCCGCAGGTGGCGGCGGCCGGCGGCGGCTCCCGCTCTGCTCTTCGGCCTTTTGCCTCCGGTTCGGCGCAGCCCAAGTGTCGGGAAACCGCGAGAAACCTGCTGCGGAAAATCAGCTCAGTGTTGGAGTCTCACCCACCACGCCCAGATAGGGCAGGGCACGGAGTCCGGTCCTCCCCAGCCGCCCCGTCGCCATCCCAGCAGTTACTGTGCGGAGACCGAGACGAAGGGACAGGGACAAAGGAAGAGAAACCAAAAAAAAAAAGGGAGGGAACTCAGGGAAAATTTGGCTCACTTAAAAAAAAAAAAAAAAAAAAAAAAAAAACTCCGCTATGCACTGGTCCAGAAAAACTGTCGTTTTCAGTAGTTAAAACCTCCAACATTTCTGCTGAGAAGTTAACACCGCACAGCCGGGTTTTTTGTCCTGGTTTATAGGTTTAAAACCAATCTAAGGCTTTGCAAATGCAATTATTCGGTTGCAGAGCTTATACTGTCTTCCCAGTAAAGTCCCCACTCTGCTTGGTTCAGTGCATTTAATTATATTGGTTGAGTGTGTGTGTGTGTGTGTGTGTGTGTGTGTGTGTGTGAGAGAGAGAGAGAGAGTATTCTAGCACAAAAAAATAAGTTCTGATTTGAGTCAGTTTTCCGATTAAAAAAAAAAACCATTAGGCTATTTCATTTTGAATTCATAATTAATCCTGATTATTCTGTGACCCTTCTTCAAACCCCGGAACTCAAGCCAAGCATTCATGATTATCTGCAGTTCTTGTATTTCTCCCCAACCCAGCATATAATTTGGTCCCATGTTAGACTCACCACATATGCAGAATTTTCTCCCAGTCTTGCCTACTGCGTTCTGTTCTCCTCTTGACAAACATTGTGCAAATAAGCAAAGGACGTGGGGGGGGGGTGGATACATTTAAATGTAAAAAGGTATATTTAAGTGAACTTGGCCTTAGTTATCAGGCAAAAGTTCAGAGCTATACATATGCATTTTTTTTGGTTCCACCTTCTCTGAAACCTTCTCCTCTACTCCCAGTCCATGATAATGTCTTAATCAGGAGGGCTTTTGTCCTCAGAGCTCTAAGAACTTAAGACATAGAATAAAAAATAAAAATACTTACCCAGTGTTGCACTGTGCAGTCAAATTGCAGTAGGTGACTATGTCAGCCTTGTGTGATTGTCTCAAGTGACCTCGAGGAGGAATCAAGAACAGGAAACACTGGAAAACCAGGTAAGTAGAGTCACGCAAGCAATATTTTTAAACAATCAGATATGATAGGAACATAATGTGTTAAGATGACCCAAGGGCCTTTCTTGTGTTTCTGTAGGAAGCAGAAAACCTTAATTTTTACAACGTACTATATTTACAACTATATTACATTTTACACCTGTGTGGTATATATATATCTCACAACTGAATTGTACCTTGTGATGGCAAGTATTTAGGGAAATACTTGTAAGCACATATGTGGGTACTCTTTCCCTTTTGTATCTATAATCCCCTGTAGCTCACAAGCTTCGAAACAGTTCTGTGGAGCAATGTGAAATACTATGTCCCAGTCCTCAGGGAGACCATGAATAAAGGCGTTGACTAACCTACCAGGAGGCTGGCCTTCTTTCAGTACACATCACAATTGAAAGAGGATCTCCTACTATTTTTTTTTAAAGTAAATTCAATGATGTGAAAGCTCAGAGGAAGAAGAGATACATTCTGATAGGGGAAATACTTCATAATGAAGCAGCAATAGAGTTAGGCCTTAAAAATGTGGTCATTATGAAAAGATGAAATAGAGGAGATTTTTCTTTGTTTGGTTTTGTTTTCAGGCAGAGGGAAATGTGTGAGCAAGAGCATGGCGTTGAGAAGGCATGAAGACCAATATTCAAGAAACAGACTGATGCCATGAATTAGAAATATGAACTAAATGAGAAACAAAGAAAGTCTAGGAAGATGAAGTGGAAAGATTAGTTGGGGCCAAGTGGCCCCATTGACCTATCTTCCAGTTGCATGCACTATAGGCTTATATGAAAGCTGTTTTTTTTTTTTTTTTTTTTTTTTTTTTTTTTTTTTTTTTTTTTTTTACTAGCGTTACTCTTGGTATTCCTTTCATCCTGGAACATGACTTGCTTAACCTTTCTGCCTTCACCATCCTCATTGCCCATATCACACCCAAATCCTTCACAAGTACTACATTTAACCTCAGGAATCTCTGCCAGGGGCTACTGGGTAAACTCTCAGCTAAAGAGTGTGTGTAATCTCCTTCTCCCATCCTTTGTGTTGGTCAGGCAATGCGGTATGTGGGAAAAGCAACCAATCTCAGGTACTAGTGATCGTGAAACACGTGTTCTGAGGCACGTGGATGTTTGTTACACCCTGAAAAAGTGCTAAGAGTTCCTGATGTTAGGGAAGTAATCTTTGCAGCCTAAGTGGGATTCAGTAAAATTACTGTTGAGTGGATTAATGAGTAGATGAGTATTTCGTCATCTGCTGGATCCATATCCTGTCTTATAGATAATGTGTATGTTAATTTTTTTTTTTTTTAATTTATGATAGTCACACAGAGAGAGAGAGAGGCAGAGACACAGGCAGAGGGAGAAGCAGGCTCCATGCACCAGGAGCCCGACGTGGGATTCGATCCCGGGTCTCCAGGATCACGTCCCAGGCCAAAGGCAGGCCCCAAACCGCTGCGCCACCCAGGGATCCCGATAATGTGTATGTTAAAACCCACTTGACTCCACTTTATTGAGAACAGGAAAGTTGTCATGACAACTCAATAAAAAATGTTAACATGGACTAGTATTTGGTTTAAAGCGATCCTTGGTGATCTTGTCAGCTTTGGCAGAAAAGTTTAAATTTTGCTTCTCAAAACGCTTGTCTTGTTCTGCGTCTACAACTGACAAGTAGCACAAAAGCATTCAAATGCGTATTCTTCTCACGTTCAGAAATGACAGTGGCAACCCGTGAAGTGATCTGACTCTTAGCTACTCAGAGTGTGGTCCGCTTATCAGCAGGATCATCGTGACCTGTCTTCCTGCTGGAAATAAAGAGTTATGAACCTCACTCCAAACCTACACAATCAGAATATTCATTTAATAAAATCTTCAGTTGGTTCCTAGGTATGTTAAAGTTTGAGAAGCCCTGATCTAATATCAATGCATTAAGTATGCTAGATGTGGAAACGGGTTGTACGAATCTGTCTAAACCTAGGGATTTTTAGAACCAGCATATCCTTTTTTTTTCTGTGATATTACCACCAAATCAGTTTATATAAAGTCATGGGACTAACTGATTCATTTCTCCTGGCTTCTTGGTCTAGTTCATAAACCAAACATGAATTCATAAACCAAAGGGAATGGAGAGAGAATTGAGGATGGGGGCAATGCAGCAGGAGGAAAGACATGAGAAACAGTGACCATTATTGTGTACTCTCTTAATATGTCGGGGACAGAACGTCACTTTATTTTTTAGCAAATGGACAAACCACTTGACTCTACTGTTTATCAAAGCAGGGTAACTTGTCAAACACAAGAAAGATGACTTCATTATCTTTTTCCTCTTTATGACTCCTTTTCCCTCCTTTCCTTCTTAAGATGATTTTACTTTCAATTTGTTTTAAATACAGCTGGTTAGATAAACTTTACATTGCTAACTTGTCCTTCCTGGGACCGTGTTTAGTGGTCCAAACTGTCTCTTTTAGAGTGTGAAATTTCAGTTAGGAAGGGCAGACCATGTAAGGTTGGAGTCCTTAAATTTCAGGTAGCAGTTTGGACTCTAAGAGATTCTAATGATGACAGAAATGTTCACTCTGTTTTCTCAAACCAGTGGTGTTTGTTATCAGTAAATAGAGCAGTGTGCAGAATAATGTGCCCTCCCTGCCTTCAGATGCCCTGAAAAAATATGACTATGTTATGCTCCGAGGCACATGGCTAGGGGAAATTAAGGTCGCACCGAGAATGAAGATTGGTAATCAACTGACCTTGAGATAGGGAGGTTATCCCCGATAATACACGTGGGCACACTGTAATCCAAAGGGTGGTTATAAATGAAAACTGGAGGCAAGAGAGTCAGGGTCAGAGTCAGAGTGATGCAACGTGAGAAAGACTTGACCAGCAGTTGCTGGCTTGGACGATGCAAAGGGGTTATTACCAAGGCATGAGTGCAGCCTCTAGAAACTGGGTAAGGCTACAAAACTTAGGCTCCCTGAGAGCCTCCAGAAAAGAAGCAGCTCTGCCAAGGCTTTGGTTTTAATCTGGTGAGACTCACTTCAGAGCCTCAGTTTGTGTTAAGTAGCTAGGTTTGTGGTTGTTTGTAACAGCAGCAATGGGAAAGGAATGCAGATTTTGGTACTGGAGCCTGAGGTCCTAGTGTAATAAATACCTAGAAATGTGAAAGTAGCTTTGAAATGGGGCAATGGCAAAGCCTGGAAGAATTTTGTGGGGCATGATTTTTCAAAAGCCTTGGTTGCTTTGAATGTGCTGTTAGTGAGCAGATGTATGTTAACTCCGCAGGCGAGAACTCCACAATGTGATAGAGAAGTGGAAGCATGGTAGACAGATCCTGTATCATTCTAGAGAATACGGAACACGTCATAATCTGACTGCTGGTCGAATTAGGAAGTTGAAGATGCTGCCAGTGAGGACATAGCTGGAAATGAGGAATATGTTACAGGAAACTGGAGGAAAGCCTATGTGGAAGGAAATTCGGCTGAATTACAGTCTGCAGGTACCAGAAAGGAGGCATTTGGATGGTTAGTGGAAGAGATTTCTAAGCAAAGTGTTGGAAGGCATGGCTTGGGTTTTCCTTCTGCTTATTATAAAATGTGAAAGGAAAGAGAAATGGAAAGAACCATTAAACAAAGTGGAACCAGGATTGGCGATTTAGGAAATCTTCAGTTTATCTAGACTTTGAAAGATGCTGTGCCACCCTTTTCCAGGTAGACATAATGTCCCTATACTTGGATGACATGGAGAGAGGTTTTCTTTATTGATTCTCATATTTGAAAAATCTGCTGAACATACCGATAAGGGAGATCCCCCTATTTTAATTTCATGTCCTAAAGTCCTAGTCGTATTGACTCTTTTACCTCTATATCATTACACAATACCAGTAGTATTCTATGAATTGTGTTTCAAAAGGAGGCCAGAGTGATAGTGGTAGACCTCGATATGTTTACTGCTGTCGACTTCAGAAAATTGAAAAGAAAACATAGGGTGGAGACATTGACGTGGAAGTCCCTAAGATGAATGGGTTACTGGATACTGCAAAAAAGAGACTCGCAAAACGTACTCAAAGATATTTATTGAGTATAACTCTACCCAATAAAAAAATATTTCCTATGAGTAAAAACTGACACATTGAAAAGGAACAGCTCAGGCACACAAAGATATGATGTCTATAAAAACAACAGGAAAAGCCCACAGCTAAGGTTAATCTCTCATTCCAACTTAGTTCAAAACACACTTAGTTTTCAATATTGCTACTTCCACTGTAGCTTAGTCCCTACCCTCTACCCTGCTTTTACAAGATTTTTAAAGATTTATTTACAAGATTTATTTACAAGATTTATTTTTAAATTCCAAAATAATTGACCATATAAAGCCAGATTCTGTTTTCTGAGTATTTTATCTTTCTATTTTTTTTTTTAAATAGGAAAACTAATGCCAGCTTGCAACAAAGGTTATTTGGAGTTTGTAATAGCCCCAAATTGGAAACAACTCAAACATCCAGCAACAGATGGGTGGATGAGCAAATCATGGTATATTTGTATAATGGAATACCACTCAGCAATAGAAAAGAAGAAGCTGCTAATACATGAAATCACAAGGACGAATCTCAAAAACATTGTGCTGGGGGGGGGGGAGAAAGAAGGCATAAAATTGTACATATTGCATGATTCCATTTATATGCAATTCAAGAAAGGGCAAAGCTCATCTGTAATGACTGAGAGAAGCTTTGCAGTTGCCTGGAGCCAGGGTGGGAGCACGCCAGCAAAAGGGGCGCAAGTAAAGTTTTGGTGATAAAAATGTTCTATATCGTGATTGTGGTGGTGGTTATGAGGGTATATACAAGTATCAAAACTCCTCGAACTACACACTTAAAATGAGTGTGTTTTATTGTATCTAAATTTATCTCAATGAAGTTGATTTGAAAACAACATCGGCCACAACCAAAGTCATTGAAACAAGGATGAATGACTTCCAGGATTCTAACATTTTAATCGTCAAGAAGAATCATAATAGTTGGCATGGTAGGATGTTAAATATGTGCCAAACACAGTTCTAACCACTACGTGCATTAGGTCATCCTTTCCTTCCAGTAATCCTTTGAGGTAAGCATTATTATTATATTTACCTAACACAGGAAAAAATTGAGGCATAGGAAGATTAAATAACTTTCCTAAAAGCACACAGTTAACAAGTTGCAAAAGCAGGTTTCAGACTCGGGCCATCTGGCTCATAATCCTGAGGTATGAATCACTCTGGTTATCCTGAAAAGAGCTTCTTAATTATGTGAAATAAAGAGTCCTAGTTCAGACACATTAAATCAGACTGTTTGAGTACTGGTAGGTCCCAGAAACCTGCATTTTAACAAGCACCTGTAGTCCATTCTGATGGTTGAGTATGAAAACCAAATATTTCAAGGTAGTAAAGTTGTCTTACTGTGAATTCCTTGGACGGGTACCTATTCCTGACACAATTATGTAATAGGTTTGGGTTTTCAACACTTGCACTTCAAGCTGTTTATATATTCTCTTAAATTCTTTGCTTGACATTAGTTTAAGCTGCCAAGTAAGGAACGGAGAACATGAGTTTTGATAGCTTTATTTTTAATAGAATGGTTAACTAAATAGTAGTATGTAATTATGTATTTATAGAAAGGAAAAGAGAGATGAGAGGGAAGGAAGGAAGGAAGGAAGGAAGGAAGGAAGGAAGGAAGGAAGGAAGGAAGGGAAGGACAAAGCTAGGCAGATTACTGAAGAGGTAGGCAAAACATTGGAAGTATATTCAATAAAGCACTTTACAGAAGAAACTATTAAGGAAGATACACTCAAGTCATTTTCTACCAATTCTTCAAACGTCATAAAGGTTGAGTTGTTCCTGCTTCCTTTCATGGCAGGTCATGTTGAAAAGTAATCACTGATTAAACAAATGCCTTATACAAAGGGTTGGAAATTCTTTAACACTTTTTATCTCTAGGTATCAAATGTATAAGAGACCCCAGGGCTCCCTCCTTGGGAGCTTCCACCACAGGAGGACAATATTTCAGGGGGTTACTGGAGCTGGGTTAAAATAGAGTGTGCAAATATCACAGTTTAAATAGAATATTACTTGTAAAGGAAAGCATTTAGTC